ACCTGCCTCGTCCTCTGGCGCGAGATTGGGGGGGGTGCGGTAGGTTCGCCTCAGTTACCTGCTCCTCCCAATGCAAAGCCAAGCAACACTTTTTGATGCCCAAGGACATGTGTAGACTAGAACCACGCACACGCTTCGCTTGCGCTGAGGCTCTCGAAAGGTACGGTTGTAGTCTAGAGTGTCTGGCATCGTGCCACACAGATCGTGCCGCCCAGGAGCTCCACTGACGGCACCAGAGACAGGCTTGGCTGAGCGCCCCCCCGCCCATGTCGGCAAGCCCCGCTCAGGGATCGCGCCCCACAGGGAGCTTCACATGCGTCCCCAGAGACAAGTTTCACGTACACGTCGGTCGTGAGAAGTAGGTAAAAGCATGAAGTAGGAAGGCGAATAAAGTAGATTGGGTTCGGGCCCTCCCAGATAATAACAGGACACTGCAAAAGCGCATCGGCCCTTGGAGTAGGAAGGCTCTTGAAATAAATTGGGATCTGGAAATCCCGAAATACCAACCTTCAACGACAGGCGTGTAGTGGCACACCCTCGCGCGGATTATGCCCCGCAAGTAGATACACTTGCGGCCGAAGAGGGAAGCTGCCTAGCGTCGCCCCGCTCACTCGGGTCGTGGCCCGCAGGGAGTTCCACGGACGGCCCAGGAGGGGAGATTAGGAGGCCACATGCGAACCCTACCCCTACCCCCACGAGTTCTGATGGGAAGGGTGGGGTTCACTTCGTTCGGGAGATCCCGAGCGGAGTGAACTCCACCCTCCCCCTCAGAAATCGTTGGGGGTAGGGATAGGGTTCGCATGTGGCCCCCTAAAAGGTTCGCACCCCGCCCGACGGCCTACGTCGGCACACCGCGGATCGTGCCTCACAGGGATCTCCGCAAACGGCCCCAGAGGCAGGGCTCGCAGTGCGCCCCCGCCGCCCATTGCGGCACACCCCACCCAGCGGATCACCGTGCCACCAGAAGAATCGGGCGCTGGCAGGACTGGGTTTAATGGAACCTGGTTTAATGATCTGTACCAGGGGGGCGCCAGCCCGTCCCATTTCCACCAACCGGAACTGCCGTCACCTGAAAAAAACACCAGCTATGGCAAACCTGGTTTAGTGATTCTGGCCGATTCAAAAGCTCCGGGGCCCTACCACTAACCGGGTTCCCTTACCTGGGGTCCTGGCCATACCCGAAGGAAGCAGCAACAAACCTCGGCAAGGTGCAACTCGACCAGCTCAACGATGCCGGCTCAACTCGGCCAGCTCGATTCGGTTAGGCTCAGCGCGGCCAGGCCCAACTCGGCCATGCTCAACTCGGCCAGGCTCAACTCGGCCAACGCTCTGGCTGCAGCGTGGTCGCCAGCTCAACTCGGCAAGGCTCAACTCGGCCAGCTGAACCGGGCCGGCTCGACTTGGCCAGGCTCGACTCGACCAGTCTCAACCGAGTTGAGCCAGGCCGAGCTTAGCCTGTCCGAGTTGAGCATGGCGGCTCGAGCGCCGGCCGAGTTGGGCTGGTATCGCTGGCCCGTCCTAAGGGTCTCTGGGGCCCCCTTGGGACTCCAAGGAGCTCTGTGGACCTTCCTGACCGCATCTTGAGGCGTAAGCGCAGGAACGACACAAACTTGTCACCACCGTGAGGACGTTCGCAACTTTGACGTCTCGGGGGCGCTCTGTCAATTATGTTGAGGCCTCTTGGGGTCCACCTTGGAGCCTGATGGGTAAAGGTCGACGCTGAGCATCGCGGGGCTCTTCATAGGTCACCTCGGAAGCCCTGCTGAGAATGGCAAGTGGGGCGGAGGGAAGACCAGGGAAGCGTTGGGAAGGCTTTTCAGGGAGAAAGGGAGCGCCCAGTCCGTCGCATGGCCCGAACAGCTCCTTGGACGATCAATCTGGTAGGCCGTTTGATCTCAAGTCCTCGGGCCTGTGATGCTCACGGGGAAGGATGCAGAGACTGCGAAGGAGAACTAGGGAGTGGGACGGGAAGGTAAAGATAATAATACTCATGTATGAGATCGGAGGCAATAGCAATGACGAGACCAGAGGAAGCATTGTACCGAACGCTGTGGCCGAGCGGAGTCTGCCGAGTTGGGACCAGCCGAGTTGAGCCTGGTCGAGTTAGGGGAAACGGCTTGCGATCGCGACAGTGTTTTTCGTGTTGTCGATCCTGCTAACTTGTCTCTCATCAGGACGAGCAGGACGAGCGAGGACGACGAGGATCACCAGGAGAGGAGTGTGGAACAAGGGGGTCGAAGGCACGAGAAATCAGCGAAATTGGGCAAGCAGTTTGCGTGACTACAAACCTGTTTGTAGTCGCGCAAACCCTTGCCCTTTTGGGGGGCTCCTTGGTACTCTCTTGCATGAGTATAATATGTTAATGTTGGTGTTCTCGGCTCCGCGCATCCGCTCATTATTTGGCGGCGCGCACAAGGGGGTGGAGGGAGGGGGGAGGGCTTCTGAGAAGGAGGCTGCTTCTTAGAAGGCGGCGACCCCGTGTCTACAGAGTAGGCCCGCGCCTTCTAAGAAGCGCAGGGGTGCCTCTAAGAAGCCCTCCCCCTTCCCCGTGCCCACCCTCTGCGCGTGGTTGAATTATGACATTTGCTTTTCCTCGTGAATGGCTTGAAGCGGTCACGCCTGCGCGTACGCTACACCGACCTACCTTCGGCGGTGGACAAACCTCCCTTTAGTAAACCTCCATTTAGTCAAAACGGCCTAAGACCGAAACTGACGGACCTGGACCCGACAAAATGACGGCCGCGACGCCCTCTCGCGAACCGAAAACGGCCAATTCGCTAATCGACGTGTCAGGGTAGGAGGTCCATCAACCTCCGATACCTTCTGGTGCAGTCGCCACGCGCAGCCTCACACTTTTACTCTGGCCGCCTGCTTGCAGGCCTCGGCTCATGACCCCCCGCTTGCCTCTGACTTCGCCTCCTCGCTTGCGGGCCTGCTCCCTCCTCCTCCTCCTCCTCCTCCTCCTCCTCCCTTCCTCCCTCCCTCCCTCCCTCCATCCCTCCCTCCCTCGCTCCCTCCCTCCCTCCCTCCCTCCCTCCCTCCCTCCTCCCTCCTCCTCCTCATCCTCCTCCTCCTCTTCTCCTTCTTCTTCTTCTTCTTCCTCCTCCTCCTCCTCCTCCTCCTCCTCCTCCTCCTCCTCCTGCGCGGTGCCGTTCTCTGACGATCCTGGTCCGTGCTTGCTCGCTGCGCGCACTTGCTTACTCTTCCCGTGCGGTCGACGCGCGCGGCTACTCTGTTCGGTCGCCAGAATTCCTAGACAGCTCCTCGCTCGTTCCCGTCCGCGCCGAAGTTGCCGCACGATTTAGGCTGGGACCCAACTCGGCCGGCTCAACTCGGCCGGCCCAACTTGGTCGGCTCAACTCGGCCGGCCTAATTCGGCCCGGCTCAACTCGGCCGGCCCAACCCGGCCGGAGCTCAACTCAGCCAGGCTTGACTCAGACCTGGCCACGTTGGGCCTGGCCGAATTGAGCCTGGCCGAATGGTGCCTGGCCGAGTTGAGCCTGGCCGAGTTGGACCAGTGTCCAAGGAGCACCGCCTACAGGCACAGAGACAAGGACCGTACAGCCCCCCCCCGCCAATGTCGGCACACACGTCACGCGAATCATGCCCCATGAGAAGCTCCACCTAGTTATGGCACAAATATGAAATTTTCGCATGGCTTTCTCCCGCCCCATCGCCGCCCCCTGGGGGGCTTGCGATCTGCGCAACTGTCGCCACTTTCGTGGGCTCTGGGAGGACACAGATGGGTGAGGATACATCGAGAAGCTCGGATCGGAGATCCGGCGGATGGTATCGGGCGCCACGGCCTTCTCAGAGCGTTCTGGGGGCGCTCCGACAGCGTTCCAGCCGGAAGGCTCTGGAACGGATTGATCCTCGCCCTCCCCCCGTCCGATGCATCGGGGTCGATGCATCCCCCCCTGTGCCTATCATGCCGTTGCCCCCGAACCCTTAACCTGGGCGGCTCCCCTCACCCAGGGCCCTGCCTCTATCCAAGTTCACTTGCACGGATGGGGGGGGCTGAACCCGAAGCAGGCGCCGCAGGCGGCCTGCACGCGCGGGAATCTCGTGCAAGTCGGGGGGCCCTGGCACGCCGGTGCTCGTCTGAAGAGGGGCGTGGGGGGGGGCGCGCCACGCAAGGAAACCTGCCCGAATGTTAGAAGAACAACTCTTGGGTTTCTTGTGGAAGGTTTCTTGTGCTCGAGCTCATACTGTACCTACTTACCTGCGTCTCTAGACCACCGGGAGACAATCGGAGGCGGAGGAGGGGGAGGATGAAGAGGAGGAGGAGGAGGAGGAGGAGGAGGAGGAAGAGGAAGAGGAGGAGGAGGAGGAGGAGGAAAGAAAAGGGAAGGAGGACGAGGAGGAGGGAGGAGGAGGAGGAGGAGGAGGCGGAGGAGGAAAGAAAGAGAAGGAGGACGAGGAGGAGGAGGAGGAGGAGGAAAGAAGAAGAGAGAGAGGAGGAGGAGAAGGAGCAAGAGGGAGGAGGAGGAGGAGGAGGAGGAGGAGGAGGAGGAGGAGGGGAGGAGGAGGAGGAGGAGGAGGAAGGAGGAGGAGGAGGAGGAGGAGAGGAGGAGGAGGGGAGGAGGAGGAGGAGGAGGAGGAGAGGGGGGGCGGGGGGCGAGCGCCATGCTGGTAAGCCTGCCCGCGCCCCCCCCAACAAAGACATGCTCCACAGCATGTGCGGCGGCCCCCGTGGGGGCCGCAGGGGGGCGGAGGAGCGGCGTGGGCCTTGGAGGGGAGACCTCTTGGTGCCGGGGCGGCTGCCGCCGCCCACGC